GAAAAAATATGTCCCCAATCTCTACGGAGCTGGAAAGCAGGTTAGTGAAGAGATGTGGCTGCCCTGGGAGGAGTGGGGTAGAGGGTGAGGGTTTGGCATGGGTTACTTGGCTGAAGGGCCCTCAGGTAAGCTGGTATGGGGCAACTCCACACCCCCTGCATAGCTTCATCCTCCACCCTACGCCCCACTGCCTCCCTACGTTCTTCTTCATTTCTCGTCACTTGCTCGCTGCCATAACAGATGTCGCTCACCGCCCGCAACGCCTATTGGTCATCATCCTGCTCTGTTACAGCAGCGAACAGGTAGAAGAAATGGCAAAGAATGAAGATGAACGAAGCGAGGGGTGCAGGACAAAGCAGTGTAGGCCACCATGGAGAACATGGCTGGTGCCACCACCAAGAGATGGGGACTTGTTACAGAATAATTCATGACACTGAAAATGCTTGAGAAGTAGAAGGCATTAGCACTGCATTTATGGATTCAAATCGGTGCAGGACTTTATAAAAATCTATAATGTGCAGATCTACACAATAATAAAAATTTAAGAAAAATGCAACACTGATTTGGGGTGTATTTTTTCATTCCCTGTATCTCAATTCACTGCGAATTCTTCTCCTTGACCAGGTCCCTTTGGAGTACAGTGCATAATGCCCTAAAAACTCACTTTTAAAAGATGAAATGTTTGCTGTCCTGTTTGGGAGCTCAGTGAAGGAGTTCCTTTGTTAAATAGGAAATTGTCCTTCACCAACCTCTTCCTTCTAACAAGCACTCAATGAAGTTGTGCTGCTCCAGCCTCACAACCGGAAAAGCAGGCAGGGCCAGTCTCTCCTCTCATCCTTGCATATTAAGAGTCATAACAGAGCATGAATGAAACAGGTTTTACTCAATAGTTGTGATAACCCAAAAAAGCATGGGCAATCTTGCGTGATGAAAACAGGCATGGAACTCCATTGTCCATATGCCTCATGCAGTGGTGGGTTTCCAATTTTTTTACTACCGGTTTCCACCCCTCTCCGCTTCTGCGCATGCACAGAAGCATCCGGGCTGGTGGGTGGAACCTCCACTGCTACTGGTTCGCTATATCCCAGCCGAACCGGGAGCAACCCACCTTTGGCCTCATGAAAGATTATCATAGTGGTAAATTTAAATGCTCTTATAGTTTAGCTCCAAGAATCTCTTGCAGAAATGAATGAACAATAAGAGGTAGTATGAATGGACACTAGTTAGCAACTAAGGTATCAGTCAGAATGCAGTTTCACCTGTTTCTGCAGTTGCAGGGGAGGCTGGGGGGGGGGTGTTGCACAGTGAGTGGAAAGGCCGACGCAACTTCTGGCATTGCAGGCGGGAGGTTGGAGGGGTTGAACAGGCAGGTGAACGGAGATGGCATGCGACTTACGGGAGCCCCGCCATTGCCACTCTAGCCTGACACCTAACAGGCAGGTCAGCTGTGCAACTCCCCCCCAACCTGTGAAATTGCAGAAGCAGGACTGACCTTGACATTTGCCTGCACAACCCCCCCCCCAGCCCCTCCACTCGCAACACCAGAAACTGAACGCAACCGAGACTACCAGCTCCTGTATACCCTTTGCTCTTCTCCACTCCATGCAATTAATTGTAAACCTCCAACCATAGCGGCAATGCTGAACCACAGCTTTTGTGGAGCTGTAGTTCAATGGAATAGCACACTAACTTTTAAGAAGTTCCAAGATTTAAAAAAAACTGTCAATGAAGTCCTTAGCCAAAGGTCTGGATATTAAAACAGGATATGGTAACAACAGACCATAATGGAATCCAGATGGTCATGAAAGCATTATTCTTCCCTCATGTCCATCACACAACTGCTCGACTAGTGTTTCTCAAACTTGGCAACTTCCAGATCTGTAGACTTTAACTCCTGGAATTCTCCAATCAGGAGAGAGCATAGTAATTGCTAATAATTCTATGAATTCAAGTCCACATTCAGTTTCAATCCACTAGTTGATCCAGATCAGAACAACCTTAATAGAAGAACTGAGATTTCTTGGGTAGAAAGGTGCTTTCCCTTTGTTCTCACACCCTGAAGAAAATGCAGTTACAGACCAAGGCTGCTCCATGTATTGATTCAGAATCTGAAATTTCCATGGAGTGGAAATCTGATAGTAATTCATGGGAGATACAAGGTGTTAGATATGCTAATGAGGAGTGAAGCCTGGGATGCAGGCTTCACTCAGGTCCGCTTTCCAAGCGGGAAGCGGGAAGGTTTACTCATTGGCTGACACTACCGGCGGGAAAATACAGCAACCTGAGTAGTTGGGCTGCCGGACAGCTCCCGTTAAGAGAGGGAGCTGCCTGACAGCTGGCAAGCAGAATGTACCAAGCCTGGAATAGAGAGCTGTAGTCACTATGCTGAGTCTTGCCTCTTAATTCAACTCCAGCATCTAACACAAAGTATAGACTTTTTAAAACAGCCCTTGCTGATGTGAAAGTTATTAAAAATTCTGGGATTAAATGACCTATTTAATTTAAGGGAGGGAAGAGGAGGAGTCTCCTTTAAAGCTGAGTTACTGATTTCACCTCTGCATTTTGCCCCCACCCCCACAGCTGCTGCATCTGCAGTTCCTTTCATTTCAAAATTTCCGCAGGAGGGGCAGATTGCTCAGTGCTTCGCAAAGGAACAGCAAAACCTGACACAGGCAGTTTACATGCAATCTGCAGATGTGTGCAGACAAGAAAATGTCAATATTTAGCAGGAAGAGGATTTGGCGTGCCTTTCCTTCCCCTTCACCCTCCAAAAAACTGGCTTCCATTGCCCACCCCCCACCCAGTAAGTCTACAAGTTAACCTGGAGGTCTTTTGTTTGCAATGACCTGCATCAGTAAACAGTCCTTCTGCATTCCATTGGCTGCTACTTGTGCTGGAGCCCCTCTGGCATCCCCACGAGCATGTTTTCCTCTTAAGACAGCTTCACCTCTGCCTCTAATGGTGGATAGGGAAGAAGCACCAAAGCTATTTCAGAGTCTAGGTATAAGGGGAAATATTTGTAATATCTGATTAACTGAAAAGGCTGTACAGAATCAGAATGTGAGAAATCAGGTCCTCGTCACTGTCCAAAGTCTCTCTTATTTCTTCCTTAATCCTTGAAAGTGAAGCCGGATAGGGATATGATGGAATTGAGATTTTGTAACATACTTCTACAGTAGTTGGAAATTTTGAGAGATCTTGGAGGAAAGGTTTCCTTGAAAAACACATTTTTGGAAGAATTTGGAAGAGAACCCTATTAGAATCTAATTAAATTAAATGACTGATATATGTCCATGCCAAAGCTTAGAAATACAGATCTCTTTAAGGCACAGATTGAACCTTATTTCTTGGACAAGTGAAACAGTTTCTACATAAATTCTCTTTTATACTTTTTCTAATCATAGTCTAATCATATGCTTATTAAATCATGCCTTAGGTTTGATAGGTGGTTATGAACAAATAATATAACATTGTCTTCTTTTCCAATTTGTAAAATATTGTTCTGTCTATGTATGTATATTTATCAATGTATAATATTTTTAAAACAAACCCAATTTATGAGACTTCTGCATACCTCTTCTCTTTCCCCCCCCAATTTTTTGTCCATTTCCAGAAGTTTTCTCTCTAAGAAACACATACTTGATTAATAGTGTTGATAATTTCCACATTGTGGTCTTCGCTACTTTTCACTGACTACTTATAATTGAATATTCAGTTATATATTCTCATATATATATATATATTCATCACTCTCTTCTTACAAGAGTCTTTTGCATTTTATTCAGTTATATGTTGTTGTTGTTTCTTGAACATTATATGTATTATATGTATTTAATCTTCTTGAAGATTATATGTATTTGATTTTCCAAGCCTCCTTCCCCCCAATCTTTCCAATATGGTTGAGTCCTGGTACACCTGAATCATCCAGATATCTACGCCAAGTACAATAGGAATAGCAAAACAGTAAATCATTCCATTTCTGTTACACTTAAATAGCTTATAAATGATTAGTTGAAAAGTTCTGTTTTTTCCCTTCTGTAACTTCCCTCTTCACAATTCAGCACAGAAATAGATCACTCATTGTTTGAGGAACAAAGCCGTGGCGATTCAACATATGACAAGTCTCAAAGGAGCAGATATATATTTTAAATACTTGCTGTATCAAACACTGAAATCTTCTCAGATTAAACTGTCAAACTCAGACCAAGAGACGTTCATGTAACTCTGATATATTTTAATGCAAATATAAGTAAATGCAACTTCAAAAAGATCCAGTCATTTGTTTGAGCCCCCCGCCCTCTCTCTCCCTCTCCCCCCACTTCAATGAAGGTACATCAGACTGACAGGGAAGAAAGCGAGGCATCTGAGGGCCTGGGATCTTCTCATAACCATCCCTATTGCCCACTTTCTTCTCACTCTTTGCTGACAGTGAAACATTTTCCCTGTTGCTTTTTGTCAAGAGGCCTGTGTGAAAATACCAAACACTTAAAGTCTGGGACTGCATTCTGACCAGTGTATTGCACTGCCTTGATTCACCAAGGTACATGCATCTGGTCTTTTTACATACTAAAGGGGATTTTGTGTGAGTACCTTTTTATAACTGGAACAATTAATCTAAGTAACTGTCGATTTAAAAAAAGTTCCTGAATGTATGTACTGTAAAGAGAATATTTCAAAATGAAAACTATCTGGGGATAGTTTTGGAGTGTCTATTCATAGCATCATCCAAACTCCGAAGTGATTTAAAATGACCCTAATCCTAACCTTTCTGGCAAGTCCATTTTTCCACCATAAATGAGGTTTGCAACCACTTAAAGATGTTCTTACATTTCTTTTTCCTTTCTGCTTCAATGGACTTTCTCTCCAACTATTCTGACAGAGCTAAAATTGTTTTTCCCCCCAAACTCCTTAACAGAATAGGTGCTGTGATAGCACAAATATTCAGTACTATTGAAAGGCAGCCAAGTAATATAAAATGCCACTCCTTGCTGCCATCGTGTGGTCAATGGGTGAAACAATTACAGTAATAATCTATATATTATACTGTACATAAAATTGGTCAAGTCAAGGTGGCAAGGATACGTACTGCTCTTATCCCCTATTTCCCCCACAACAACAACAACCCTGTGAGGTGGATTGAACTGAGAGAGAGAGAGTGAGGGACTGGCCCAAACTCACCCAGCTGGCTTTCATATCTAAAAAGACCACATCTCACAGGATCTGATTTCTAGACCAACACCTTCACCACTACACCAAACTGGTTCTGTTTCAGGTGACTGAAATAAAAACGTCCCAAATAATCACTCAGTGGTATGGAGGGAAAGGAATAAAAATAGCAGCATGTAAAGTAACTCAAACATTAAGAATGCCAATATGAAGAAGATTTTCACCTTAGGGGGTTGCTGGACTACTATGATACAAGTCAGTGGTGGGTTTCAAAATTTTTTGGAACCTCTTCTGTAGGCGTGGCCTGCTTTCTGGGTCCACTGGTGGAACCTCTTCTAACCGGTTCGGTAGATTTGACGAACCGGTTTTACCAAACTGGTGCAAACTGGCAGGAACCCACCTCTGATACAAGTTAAAGCTGTATGAATAGTAATGCAGCACTGGCCTGTCTGGGGAACAAGGCAAGATCACAGTGTGAGAATGACAGTAAAATTTAGGACATCATGAAAGTAGAGTACGACAAAGCCACCATGGGGATATGGATTATAATTCCACCTATTATTCCCAGAGCTACTTTTCTGGCAGAGACAAAGACTGTATCAATAAACAGTTGATTCTCATTATTGGTGGTAGCTATGTTTTATAAAGCTGCCACGAACACTGAATTAACTAATACTGAACCATTGTTTTTAGAAGAAATTCAAAACACTTATTTACAGTCCAAAAGCTGAAGACCGTGTGTTGCCTCATTCAACCTCAATTGGGAACGTGCACCTCAATTGACTCAATTTTTTCATTGCTCTGCACAAGTCTGTGAAAGAGCTGTGAGCATTGATGAGGGTTGCAAATTTAATGAGTAGGTGAATTGGCAAAGAGAGAGAAAATATGATCATTATATCTGAAGACAACAGGAAAATGGGGTGGGTGGGTACCAAAAACTTCAGGGGGCAGTACTCAGATTAAGGAAGAACTTGGCAACTAGAACTGGGCAGAAACATTCCAAAGAGGAAAAAAATGTAATATTTTACATTTCCATAGGGAATTTTAAAAAGATCAGTGGATTGAATATAGAATCAGGCAGGAATCATATTAGACAATAGTATATGCTAAAAGGAATTGTGTCTCTCAGTGGATCACAAATTGACCAAAAGCCAACTATGTAATTGAGTTGCAGAAAGAAAAAAAATGCAATCTTACAGTGGCATCAAAAGAAATGTAGTACCAAGATAGTTATGCGTTTCCGGTCACAGTTGGTCAGACCACAACATTTGTTCCAGTTCTCTTCAATGCCTTCATTTTGTTCAAGTCCACTTCCGGCAGATTTGTGATATAAACTGTGAGGGAAAATTGTTCAGAAGCAATATAAAGAATGGATTTCAATTATAAAGAAGTTTGCTTTAGTTAGAGATCAAGGGGAAAAAAACCAGCTTTAGACAGAGATCTTTACTGTACAACAATCATTTGGTGTCATCTGCAGTTGCTTATTAATGTTATATTTGGCTTTGTAAAATGTAAAGTACATTATGGTTACCAACATNTAGTCTGACTTTTTAGGCGCTCGAGCAGAGTTAAGCGAGGGTTAAAAGCCTAAAAAATCCCGAGGTAGTTGAGGCACGCAGTTCTCCTGCCTTATAGTAGAAGGCACTTTTTTTAGAGGCTTCGACTCTGTCATTCTGTTTAAAGCTGCAGCGTCGCTCTCACTCTTCCTCCTCTCTTTCTCCATTTCTGATGACCCCCACCCCCACCCCAAGCTCCCTCTTTTCCTTCAAATTTCCTTTTTTGCTTTTTAAAAAAATAAATGCAATGCTCAGGCATTGTCTCCTCTCCCCCGACACCCCACTGACTAAAGCACTTTCTTTTTCTCGCCTGAGCTCGCTATCTTTTTTTATGGCAACTTGATCCCTTTTGTGGTATTGGATTAAACTCTTCAATCAGAGCAGCAGCTTTTAAATATGAGACAGATCTCAAAGAACATAATGATTATGGGAATCTCTGGACAACCAGACTGCCTCAAAAGAC